TACGAATATATGTAGATATATACAAACATGTCCAACGATTTTTCACAATGTGTGCAAATTTGATTGGTTACAGTACATCTTGTGTATATGCAAAATTCTGCTGATATCATAGCTATTGCATAACTAGATTTCTGGCTTCTGGTTCGTTCGTTTCTCGTTTTTCGTATTTTATTTTTATATTTTTTATATTGTTTTTCATTCCGGTGGATTTGAATGTCTATTCTGTGTATTCGTGTTTTTGCTTAACTCTGGGCTTTCGGTGCCAACAGTTTTATTTTTTGACATTTCTACATACTCGTTTATGGAGGGTACAGCTGGAGGGAACGGATAATTAAATGGCAATGCCCCCAAAAAAGGGTACTCATAAAAGTTTTCAATTTATTTCATGAATGTTTGTTCTGCTGCTACTAAATATATTTAAAAGGGAATGTGAGAGCATAAATGTGTATCTATGGAATTTCAGTAACCTTCATAAAATTTTCAATAAGTATTTCAAATTAAGAAATGTTAAATAAATAGTTATCAAAATTTCAGACCTTCTTAGGTAAGGAACATATTGCCCCAGCAGGTGAGGAATTCCTGGCCAGAAAGTGTGTAAGAACCAGTTGAATTAATCGACTGAGAGGCATCGAATGTGGCATTGTCTTGCCTTGATTGCTCCACGTGCTCTTGCATATTCAGCCCGAAATTCGGCAATGCATGCATTGCCAAACTGGCAACTTGCAACTTGCAGCTTGGGGGCAGCTTGGAACTCTTGAATAATTAACCGAATCCTGATGGTCCTCGAATGGGCAATCAGCTGGCATGGCTCCTAATCCTGTTTGCTTTGGCATTAGGGGGTTAAGACCCGCACTAGCTACAAAAATTCAATTGCTCAAGAGAACGAAACGCAATAGCAGCTGTCAAAGCTTTAAGCGGCAAACCTTCGTTATTTCCAGCATTCCACTCAATCTCTTGTTGAGTTTTCCCGGTCCTCAGAGTCTACTCCTTACTCCTCTCTCTTCCTATTTTCCCTTGGGTTTTTTTCTTTTTTGCTTTTTCAGTACCATTCGTCATCACAGTCGTCAGTCGTCGCATCTTGTGCAGTGGCAGTAGTTCCTGAAAATTGCAGCAATGTTGCATGTCAGCTTACAAGCGCACTTTTTATTGTAATGTCGTATTATAACTACGCTGATGCTGATGTTCCTGCCTCTGCTCCTGCAGCAGCTTCTGCTCCTGCAATAGACACAGCAGTACTCTGAAAGACAATTTGACATAGCTCGCTAATTGGCAGCTGCAGGATGGCTAAAAGAATGGGAGCAGGATGCTGAAGGATCTGAGCACCCTTCAAATCACCATCAAATCTGGCATCTGACGAAATGGGTTGAATTTTAAAGACCCTTTACAGTTTTGGGCCATAAATTTCTTGATGGCTTTTTAGCCGCTGCCATTGCCGGTGGCCTATTATTATTATTATTATTATCGGTCCGGGCACCTGGCCATAGTCATAGCTGGGGCTTTATGTTCTTGGCCACTTTTCTGGCCACACGGATTTCCCGCACACCCATACACACACACACACACATTGACACACCGGAAAATTGGGTGGTTGCTGGGCGCTGGACGCTTTGGTTGGCCAATACACGTAGACAGGCTTACGCATGCCGCAATAATCCATGGCATAAACATTGGCAAATCCGTTTGCGTTTTGTACAAACATGGCTAAAACGTATTGGCAACAAAATTGGTCTAAAGCCGAGGCACAATGAGCCGAGTCAACAGAAAGAGTCGGACGATTATTTTGGCACGTGGATGCGTTTGTTAGCATTAAGTCATAAAAACGTGCTGCTACCCCTTAGTAAAAACGAAGAGTGCGGTGGGGATGGCGATGGAGTCACTAGGTAAAAGGGGTTCAGTGGGTTAAGAGAAACCGGAATCTGTGGAAAGAGGGAGCGATTTCTAGGTTTTTGGGGCCAGAGAATAAACGACGATTTTTCGGTATGGAGCATCGAGTATTTTCTATGGGATTCCGTAAGCTGAAGGAGCTTCTCCAACTGCCATTGTCAGTCTGTTTATCGTTTCAAGCTGAAAAGTCTCTCGCTCTTGCTTTCTGTATCTCTACACAGAAAGAAAATATTTGATAAAGGCACAAAAACTGTGTAGTAAATTAAACTATAGCTACATATTAAAACCTCAATTACTTTCAATTCCAAAAAACTTACTAAACTTACTAAATAAGAAGAAATAATTTGATATTTCTCTTTAAGACTTCTAGATTCATGACTGTTTTCAGCTTAGGCTGGCCAAGAATATTCTTATTCTGCTTTCAAGATCCCAAAAACAGTTGTTTAATTTTAAAAAATAAATATTTATGGCACTGCAACTTTCAATTTGTTCAACTGATTCATACTAACGTTCCATATTTGTACTCCCAACAAATTATATATTATTTACTCTGTGTGTAGATGGGGATGAGGAGGGTGAGTAGGGTGAGTAGGGTGAGTAGGGGCTGCAGGGGTAACATGAGCAAGCCAAAGCAGAAAAAGGAGCAGCCTGAGAAGGGGAAGGGGGGAACAGCATCTGAGGAAATGGGGGGCAGCATCTACACAATAGAACGCTTTGGGCCAATTGTAGGGACAAACTGACATTGCTTGCCATTCCACCTGCAATCTCCTCTGCCCCCTTCAGTACGACCACACCCCCTTTCCACAAGTGGCTGCTTTGCTATGCTGGTCGAAAGCCCCCTCAAAGCCCCACCCCTTTCTTGTGTTGCCGCTGGTGCCTTTGTTTTGCTTTGAAAACTCTCAGCAATTTTGTGGTTCCTTTGTCTTGACTTCGGTCCATTCATTGACAGCTCCTAATGCAATCTCACCTTGTGCTCCAGCACTTTATAAAGTTATCCTTGGATCTAGATAGTAGGACGTTGGGGGGTGGTAAAGTTTCTCTTACCCGCTTGCGGGCCAATTATCGGCTAAATATAATGGAGATATCCGATAAACCGATTGCCATGTAGACCCAGAGCCGAAACATTTTCCACTCGATTGATCTGCTGTCAGAAACAATATGGAAAGCCGACGGGATTATGCCGATACCGTTACCGTTAACATTACCGTTAAAGCCAACCTCTGTTCTCCAACGCCCCCTAACCAACTCCCACAATTTTCCAGCTAAACAAATATTTGTATGGGCCAAAAAGATGGGGGCCATCCAGCAACCAGCATCCAGCATCTTTTGTTTACCTGGGAAGTATCGATAAATGTATCTATGCAAATGTGAATTTGTATCATAAATCATCCAAAGTCGGAAGGGGGATTGGGATTGAAGAGGTTTTCGAGGACGAATGGGAGTTGAAATTGAGAAATTATCCCCAAAAAGTTTTGTGCTTAATTCAATTGTAATTTCTCTCGGAATGGGTTTGGGATTATCTGATTGTGCTCGATTCGCTTAATCCGTTGCTAACTACTGTGGCAACTTTGGAAACTTTCGGTTGCATCCTGTGCGTAGTTTCCATGCAATTGGCCACAGTAATTTCTGTTGGCTTCCATCTCCACTTCCAACCCCTTGACTAGCCCTTAACCCTCCGCTTATAACCCCTCTCTGTAAGCCCCTCTCTAAACGTCATTTCCGACACTTCTGTCTCTTTTCCTAGCGCCTTCCCTTTCGTTCGCACGCACACTCACACACACATCCGATTAGCAATTTCCATGCACTTCAGAGATTTCATTAGCCAATGTCGTTGTTGTTGTTATGCTCGTCGTTGCTTTTGTTGTTGTTGTTGTTTTCCATTTGCCTGGCTGGTTTTTCTTCTCTGATTTCCCAACTTACCAAGCACAGGGAAAAATGTAATTTTTCACCAATTTAATTCGATGATTTCCTACAGGCCGTAAAGAGACTTTAGCTTGATTTAAAAATTGTTTATTTAAAGCTAAAAATATATTAATTACTTAATAGTTTAATGTTAATTTAAAAAGGATTAAAGCCAGAATAAGTAGAGCCATTTTTAGGACACATCCCTGACTAACGAATCATTTGAATAAATTTCATTTTCATTATTTACTTTCCTCAAAAGAATTCATTTTACATTTCGGAATAAAGAATAGCAGCAAATGAAATTAGTTTTTCAAAGCAGCACGTACATACCTTGTTGAAATCGACAAGCACTGCCTGTCTGTCAATATGAAAACTCTCTGCTTTTTTCCTGTGTTTTCCTGAGGTTTTTTTTTATTGTACGCACTCTAGCTTCCTATCGCACTTGAGCACTTTCCATGCATTTAAACAATTTCCCTGTTATATTCCATTTTACAAATGTTTTTTCATAGCCCACCGCCCGCTGCGTCTCGCATACGTTTGTTGTTGTCAAAAATGTTGATGAAAATTTCATAAATTTATTTGCTATTTTCCTCGTAGTTCCTGTTGCCTGTTCTTGGCCCAGTTGTTGTTGCACTTCATTCGTTCGTACGCTTCTGAGCCATTAACTACGCCACTCGTTCGCTTTTGAGCCGAGAGCAGTCGGAGTGAAGGCAAAAAAAAAGGGTTCCAAAGTGGCTAGGGTAAAGAGTTGAGGGTGGAGAGTGGAGGAGCAAGTCGAGTGGGCTAGTCAAGTTGCACATATCGTAAAATATTTAACGCTTTTAGGGGTCCTGCAGTCCGGAGCAGGTAAGTTGCTACGGTCTCTATGCGTAAGTCATTTTCATCCGCTTACCAGACGGGCGGCCATTTGTCCATGTCTTAGCACTCGCTGCCAGCATTTCATATTGTATTTTTCACTGCACATTCTCATACAGAGAGAAAAAAGGTGCAAATTTCTTACTTAATAGATATCAAATTTAAATATATAGCTTTTTAGAAAGAGAGCGTAAATCGGGAATAAAAAGATTCAAATATTTGCCTGAAGATATTAAAAAGTATCGGTACTTTATTGGTTAGGAAATGCACTTCCAAAATTCTGTTCAATTAAAAATATAATAGATGTTCCGGTTAAGTTATTAATTTTTTCCATAGCACTACAGATGGGCTATTTCCTATTCGCGATCTCGAACTTCCCGTTTGTGACGCCTTTCACCCTTCCCATCATTTCTACGTTTTCTTTGAGCCTGGCGCTTTTGCCTTTCCCGTTCTAAACGGCGACGCCTGCGGGCCAATCGACGACGACGACGCTCGCGTCTCAGGGCCGCAGGCGATTTCGTAGACGAGTCCGATGTTTTCGAGGAGTCGGCGGAAGTGGTGGTGGTAGTCTCGTCAGCAGAGGAGGCCTCAGTTGTGGCGGCTGAAGCAGTTGAAGCGGTTGTAGTGTCCGCTGTGGAGGCGGCAGTTGTTGTGGCCGCCTCAGTGGTAGCCGTGGATCCTGTCACATCGTCGCCAAGGAACAGGACACAGCCGAGAACGGCAAAGATCAATACGAATAAGAAGCGCATTGTGATGTGATTAAACTGAAGAAAAGACAACGCTTTTATACCTAACAATCTAGAAGAAATGGTAGATATTCAGCAATGTTTACACAGCTTATTTGGCTTTTGCATTTAGACAGTCTCTTCAACCTTCTTCCTTCTAAGATCTTTTTATAAAAGCCTTTGTTATAACCTACAAGCGACAAAAATAGCAAATTAGTTGTTATTGACACAGCTGAACGTTTTAGAACTTAAGATGTATGCCCTGGATTGTCTAAAACGTGCGACTTTGTTTAAATATTAATTAAACGGGAAATCCTGAGTTTTGAAAAAGCTGTTTGGCAATTCCCCGCTTGCAGTTTCTGGCAACTTGATGGACCATTTCTGATCCAGACCATATTTGCTAAGAACGTTCAATTTTGTTCGCTTTTCTAAGCTTCTAAGGCATTTCAAAACTAAAACCAAACATTTTCTGCTTTATTTATTCATATCAAAAAGATAAAATTCCTATGAAAAGGTTAGTTTTTCAATTTGTTTTTTTGTCTTTATTTGATAAATTGCTTTTAATAAAATTGATGTAACCTCAGTGGCGGTTTCTGTAAATCAGTTCTTGAATTTATAACTTGTTTTTTCTGCATGTACTCACACTGACACACAAACATACTCACACACATCAGGTTGGGTCTGAAAATATCGATGTATGAATTTTCCGACCTTTCCCCAATAAATTCTCGTGGAAAACGCATCGAATCGGACGTGATTTTAGCTTCACGCACGCACGCCGCACCTAAACAGGGGAGTTAGTTTCATTTAGATGGGTGGCTCAAAAGGGGGCGTGGCCCAGGGATTGGTTACGTTGTCCCATAGCCCTTCCGACCGCCCCTCTTCCATCCATTTATCCCCCTTTTGGTATTGCTGTTTTCTATGTCATGGCACGTATTTTGGATTTCTGCTACATTTGAACTTAATATTTTTGCCCGTTTCAGTTCCTGTCTCGCTCCCTTTCGGGCTGTAATCGTATGTGTGTGTGTGAGTGTCTGTGTTAGCTGAAAATTTGCTCGCTTTTTTGGCAACATCTCTGTTTTAGCCTGGGGAATTTCTTTGGCGTGTTAATGCCTTTTGGCTATCAATTGGCCATTATGTGCCAGGGGTTTGGGGGCCAAAAGTCCTTGCTACCGGACCTTTGGCTTCATCTTCTACTTCTTCTTTTTCCGCCACATAACCATTACCAGTTTGTAATTCCGTTGTGATTTGGGATTAGGTCTTCTCCTGGCCATGGCCAATACCATAACATAACGGTGAGAGCGGGTATAGTGTCCACGGCACATGAACACGCCATAAAAATATCTTGGCAAAAAGGCAATTGAATAAATTGTGACCTTTACATTGATTCCACTGCCGCATCATCCCAGGCTGCATTCCCTATTTCCCATTTCGGGACTGTCTCTCTCAAGTAAATAAAAGCTGAAAAACCATTTATTTTCCTTCGACTTTTGCACCCTTTTTCCTTATATATATTTTTTTTTTTTGTAGTTTATTTTGTTGTGCCCCTGATCCCCATCACGTAAGCTGCCGTACAGTGTTATAAGTCCATTTTGGTAGTACATATCTGCAGTTAGCAGTGTGTGTGTATAGCTGTTGGTGTCTTTGTTTGCGTGGGGTGCTCTTCGCTTTTTTGCTATTTTTAAATCGGAATATAAATACATGTTGGTTTAGCCACTCTGCTAGTTGCTAGTTGGCAGTGCCACCTCGCTTTTTGTTGAACCAAACACAGTCACACACACACACACACACAGAGAGGAAGAACACACAAAACATATAACACATAACACATGCTGAGCTGACCACAAGTCGGTCTATTAATACGCGCAAATAAGCCGCTTAATTAGTCTTTCATTTTCGGGGGCACATCGGCTGTAGCGGTGGCCATGGATTGTGGCTGCCACCGAATGTGGCCAGTAGCTGTCGGATTTGCGGGCCAACGTTGCGTATGCATAATGAAGATGATCGAAGCAGCAATGCGACGCTATACGATACGCGTATGGGCCACCAAAATCGGACGTTAATTAAATGCTGCCATAATAGGATAAAAACTTTTGCCCAACCACCACCTACCATTATGTGGCTCGTTAAGCTGGCCCGTTAAGCTGACCGACCCCTCCTCAGTGAAATGAGAAAACCGTTTAGTGAGAACGAACGAACACTCGATGAATAGTTTTTCTTTTAACCATAACCATATTTTCATTTATTATGGAGAAACATTGTTCGTTTATTTTTTAGCATTGTTTAAACAGAAAAACATACTTGACTCTGCTTAGGTTAGCTTTCATTTACCATTTTCGTTAGTTTAATATAATTTCTGTAATTTCATTTACTATTTCTTTTTTTTTTTTTTTGGTTTTGTTTTTTGTTTTTGGTTGAACCGAGATCGAATATGTTCGACCTGGTCGCTCTTACTGCTTAAAAGTCTTATCAAGACCGCTTAAAACCGACCTCTAAATGTACAATTATCAAGTATGAATATTTTACACAGTAACTAGATGATGGACTACGTAGAACAATTTTGCGGCTGACAACCAGATAAAAACTTATCCATATACACTGAATAACCATCTATATATATATAGCCGGGTGGTTTTACCCTTCCCCCATAATATATCTTCTTCTATCTTACTCCTCCTGGTGCTGGGTGTATGATTTTGGTATAAATAAATAAACAATCGAGGTAGGGCCTAAAATATTTATGTTTGGTGTATTGTATATACAATCGGACATTTCGGCTTCAATGAACCCAAAACTGAAAATGTAAACCCAAAGGTTTTCTATAATTGTTGACTTTTTGGCCGGTTTTGTAGTAATTATAACCCTGTGTATAAAACGAAATGAATTTTAAATCAAATACAATGACAACACAGCTAAGTTTCGAATGAATGCCAAACAGCTGTTGTCCTCTTTTTTGGTTTTTGTTTTTTTCGTTAATTTTCGTAGATATTATGGATAGTGCTTGGTTGCCTGGACTTTTCCGGTTGACTGTGGTTGATTAAAAGGTTTTCATTCTCATAATACTGCCTGCCTGCTCGGGGTTGTCTTATAGATAATACTCGTTAAAGGACACACTGTATATGTACACTAGTTCGTAAGACGCTCCTCCGCCCTCATTAAATGCACCTGGGGAGGAGCGGTTCAGTCCCAACTTGGCCGGGACTGTTGCTCAGCGTTTAGAGTTTCGACTGGAGGCACCCTTCCCATGTTGTTGCCGCCGCATCAGCTCCAGCTCCATAAGCCCATTACACCGGCGGCCATGTTGCTCCAATTCCAATTCCAGTGCCAGCGCCAATCGGGGCTCCAGTTCCAATTGCCATTGAAGTTGCAGTTCCAGGCTATAGCCGCCACCGTCATCGACATCCTGGTGGCAAGGACGTAAGGCACGGAAGTGGCTGTATGGGGGCGCAGGCAGTTGGCGCTGCTGTTGCCGTGCTGCATGGCGGCCGGATGTTCCCCGTTGATGACGTGCACCACCACTGAAGCGGAATCTGCAACGAGTGGGTGGCGGGAAATGAATGTGGCGGTGGAAAACCCGCAGGTCACAAAGACTCATTAATTGCCCTGGGCACACTCGGAAAATACGCTACACTAAAGCTATACAGCTGAAGAATTTATATTGAAAAATTGGTAAGAACCTCATAGAATCTATATCGATTGATGGGTTATAAGCCAAAAATATTTCATCAAATTTTGAATATAAATAAAGCATTAAAATTCCACTTTAATTTGAAATTTTTGATTTCTAGGAATTATTAAGTAGGCAAAGATTGGAAGTACTTAAAATTAATGATGTCGAAACCACGAGGAGAAACCCTAAAGGTTAATAGCTATATGTGTGTGACAGGAACCTCGGGGAATTGCTGTCAACACCCTTTAGAATAGCTGACGCACAATAGACAGCGCGTTATTTATAAAATGTATCAATAACTTTGTACGCCCACGAGGAAAACTCATTCTAATGAACAATCACTCATGTTATTAATTTTACTTCCGAGGCGCTCGAAAAGTTCATGAGTCTTAAGAAAGAGATTTTTGGTATTTATAGAACACGTGTGTTTAAATTAAAACTTTTTAAAAGTTCTTAAGACTTGCTTAACTTTGTTGAAATTAAATATTAATCCTGACTAAAGTGCGGCTTGAAAACTACTTCCAACACGAAACTCTTTCTTTTCATTTACCTGTCTTCTTTGGACATTTTTTGGCAATCAAATTTTCCGAATGTGGCTGGGCAAAGGTGGCACAGGGAAATGTCAGGTTGGCAGGGGAACTGGGACTCACCTGAGCTGCTTGGAGAGCACGTGTAGTTGCCCGAATCAGCCGGCGTGGCCTTGGCTATGAGCAGCTTGCTGGTCCGTGTGGAACGCTCCGTGATGACGTTGATGCCACCGCGCTGCGAGTAATTCATGACCCGCTTGCCCTTGTACCAGTAGATGAACGATGGCGGCACCGGCGACTGCATCGCCAGGCAGGTGAGATTGATGTCGCTGCCGCTCTTGATGAAGAGCTCCGCGTTGCCCAGGATCTTGGCCCGCGACACTGTCGTTGAAATGTAATAAAAAGCCACACAGGGCAGGCCATTAATTAGCACTCCGCCCACTTAATGGCCACCAAAACAGCCCCTCTTACTCCAACCTCTCTCTTCTTTTACTCTCTCCCTATTGGTTCGATACTCACCCACTACGTTGAGGCGGAATCCCTGGCTGATCTTCGGCTCGGTGGACACCTGGCATTCGTAGGTACCCGAATCCCGGGGCTGTGGCGATGAGATGCGCAATGTCCACTCGTCGGATCCCTCGGAGTGCAGCGACTGGAAGCGCTGGTCATTTGTATAGGTCAGTATGCCCACCGTAAGAATGTGTAGGTCGCGCTTCCTTATCCAGGACACCTAAAACAGGGGCAAGGAAATGGAAACATTTTACTATTTTAGAAGTTTGCCCAAATGTGAATCTGAAAACCTGTATTTATTTTATGAAAATATAAATCGTTTTAATCGTATATACATATCTTGTCATAAAATCAAATCTATCTTTCCCGTTTAAATTAAAATGGTTTTGCTTCAATGAATTTCAACTATGGAATTGCGTTGCTGTTTTTATAGCAAAACGAAAAAAAATTAAATCAATCTAACTTTTGTAACCACTTTGGTACAAAGAAAAAGTTGACCTACATATTCTTGAAAAAGTGTATACAAATTTAATAAAAGTCCGTTTTTTGGCTGTTTTTCTTGCATGAAAAAATCCATGCAACTGCAAAAGTTGCAGATGAAAAATGATTTCGTGCCTCAAAGGGGAGTGGCTAGCTTTCATAAACAATATGGAAATTGTTCTATATATTCGTGCAGAGATATATATTTTTATATAAGGCACGAAAAGAGGTGTATAATTGCATGTTGTTAATAGCAATTAAATATTGACACAATAGAGTTTATCTATTCTGATAGTTAGTTTGTGAAACAAACAGAACTTTGCTTAAATCCATATCATGATCTTTTTTATAAAAACAGAACTTTAATAGTTCTGTTTAATTAAGCGAATATTCGTTTATTTGTCTGAAAGACAAAACTTTATTGCCTCTTTTTGTGGAAATGTGCCAAAAGTTGAAGTGAAGAAATAAAAACTTTTCACTTAATATTCTGTGGGGCAAACACCCAAATCGTTCTGCATGGCTAATCCGGAAAATAATAACAGAATTGCTCTTTTATATGTTCTTATAATTAGCTGGATTTTTCTCTAGCAACAAAAGTGTTTTGCGGCTTAAAAGGATTCCTCTGCCAGTCGTTCTTTGTGCTTCTAGTTTCAGAATTTGTGGCACCTGAAGGATACTCTAGTTGCCAAGCAAATTGAACAACTTTAAATGGTTGCTGCCCAAAGTTTTCCCATTTGTGGGCGTGGTAGGAAACTAGAAATTCATTAATTGCCTGTTTCGGGCTTTGTCTGGACTCTAATTTATGGCTGCAATTGGGTTTTACTTAATGCCGCTCTGTTCAGAAATAGTTTTATATACAGAAAGGATTTTGTGTACAGGATTTTGGTCTGGCAAGAGGCAAGTAAATGAAGCACTCGCTTTGTGCACTGCTTAATTTTCTCGTTTGTTTGGGTTCAATTAATTATGGATTAGTGCCTGGCCAGCCGTGCTCATAAAGATCCCGCTTGATTTATATTTAAATGAAAATACATTCATTAACCGTTCGTTCGTTCGTTCGTTCGCTAATTTTCAATATTCAATTAAAATTAATTGCATTTCCCCAGTGCAAATAAGTTCAAGGCGAAGCTTTGGTTAACACTTTTATTATTCGTTTCATTTCGGAATAACCACAAAAAGAGGTAAGCCAAACAATTAAAACATTCGAATGAATTTTTCTATTTGAAATAGTTTTTTTTTATGAATGATTGATTAATGTAAAAAAGTAAGTAAATCTATTGGGTCAAAGAAAAAAATGTATTGATTTACAGCAACAATGTAAATAAAACCAATTTGCTGTTGCAATATTTACAATAAGCCGATTAAATAAAGGGATAAAGCATTTAATATTTTAACATGACCATTATAAAACTTTTAACATAACTTTTTAAGTTGCCCTTAATACGAAAAACAGTTAATTTATAAATAAATTTTCTTAACTAATCAACTAATCTTATAAAAACAACCAAGTTTAAAGATGTTTATAAGCTTTTCCATTAAATTTTCTCTTTAAACTTCACAATATCAACTGAACTAGTTCTTTTCACTTGAACTATATTTCCCCAAAGTGATTAAGCTTCGCTTAGTTTTTCCTCGGTTTTTCCTTTGCCTTTGCCTAAACCCCCCCGCCCCCTGAAGTATGCAACGAAATGCGAAAAATTCCATTTAGAGGCAAATTTCCATGTCGTGCATATATTGCGACAATCAATTAGCACGGAACTTGGGCAAGGACTTTGAGTGACTGGAAAATGAATCCCGAATCGGGAATCGTGCAGCATGCAGCATGGCAGCATGGCAGCTTGGCAACATAGAGAACAGAAAATGTAGAATGCAACGTGCTGGAGACACCGCCAATTAGCCGCATATAACGGGAGACAATGCCTGTGCCAGAGGATTAGGGACACGGTTCAGAGTTGGGCTCTACCAGCTCCTCGGTTCCACCAGCTCCAACGCCCGGCGTTAATTACTCAATTCAACTGACTTGCTGAAAGTTGGGCGGGCGAACGAGCGTTGCTGACATCGTTGTCGCTTCCTGGTGGCAAATCGGGTTGGCTACGGGGCGGCTCTAGAGGGGGCACGACACGGACAACGTAAAATTTATTACACCGCATAATTGCACAGCCACAGAGAGCTTGCTTGGGACAAAAGGTTGAGCGGGGATGGAAGCGGGAGAGGGTGCTCAGCCCATGGCTCACGGGTCACGGGCCAGGGGTCAGAGGGTAGAACAGGTCCTGTGTTGTTGCATTGCTAACAAATCGCCCAGAGCGGAAGCGAAGCCGTGTTACAAATGTGCAAACCAGAGCAAGCCAAACACAAACTGGTATTGGGTGTTGGAGCGCATTCAACCCACAGACGACAGACGGAGATAGGGATGGGGATTTGGGGAGGATATTATGGGGTGGGGGGTCCAACCACCAACTTTATGGCGTAATCTTTTAAAAGTAATCTACAAATCTGCCACACGACCGCCGCAGGTCGTTTGTTTTGCCTTATGCCTTATGCGAATATAATGTTGGTTAGCCCTTGGGCAAAAGGCAATGGCACGAGCACGGGCAATATTAATTGCTGGTGTATACCCCAGCTACCCTTCTGACCCCCACAACTTACCGCTCGATCGCCCAGATTCCGTACCCGGCAATGCAGCAGGGCCGCCTGACCCACGGTTGCGGTGACCTCGCGCCTCGAGGAGTTGTCGAAGTACGGCTGAGAATACGGCGTCTCCCAGTAGTGCGGTGGCACCTCGCCGCTGACCAAGCCGCAATCTGTGAACAAACAGTGGAAGGATGGATGCAGTCCCATTAATACATGCACACAGGGGCAAAATATCACTTAAATTGGCCATCAATTATGTACTTTTGCATGTGAAGGAAGGTCATTTCTTATTTTTCATTCATTTTCCAAATAAATACACAAAATACCTCTGCCGAATGAATTTTCCTTGGGTCTTAAATCACTTATAAGAGATTTATAAGAGATTCGATTAAGGCTCTGTTGAAAGCTCTTTTGGTTTAAATCAAGTCTATCTCTTTCATATCTGTCTGTGTCATCAGTGTCAATGAGTTTAATTCAAATCGCCTTGAAATGTGAAAACCAGATACAATGTTGACAAATTTGAATGATATTTAATAAAGGATGTTTCAATGCTATATATTTTAAACATTTTAATTGATGTATTGGTATAAAATTGATGATTTAAAGGTAATAAATAATATTTTAAAGAGCTTTCCAAGGGCTTAGAAGTTAACATTCAACCAAATATTAAATTTAGTATATTTTTTGTTACTTGATCTGTATTGTTATGGTTTTCTTTTACGCAGAGAGAGATAAAAACTTGTTGGAAAATTAAAAATGTTTCACATAAAACAGAAACTTAAGCCAATACTTAAGAATCATAGAGAAAAAGCAGCCAAATCCAATTATTAAATTAAACCAATAGCCTTTTTGTGCTTTCTCCTTGTATACTCTTCCGTTTCTCTTTCTTCTTAATTGCTTATTACAGTGGACTTAAGAACCCATTTATTTTCACAGTGCAAAGAACATTGCCACAATCGCATAAAGGGAAACTCACCGAGGAGCAGGACCAGCCACAGCGGTACCAGGCAAATCGCTTTCAACGCTCTTGGGCAGTCCGTTGTCCACATGTTTTATGCTCTCCACTCGGACTGCTGCTGCTGCTACTCTGATGAGAAGTCCAAAGAGTCCTCCTCCGGCTTGGGCCTGCTGTTGTATTTGCTCCGTTTACGGTTTAAGGTTTAATAATCTGCAAAGGAGGAAATATTATTACCAGGACTTTTTATGGGGCCAAAGGCGAAGGACGCGCCACGAAATGAGCTGGGGGGAATGGGAAAGTAATTTGCCGGGCAAATGATGAAAGCCAGATATATATCCGGAATATGCGGGGAGAGAGTCGTTCGTGGAGTGGGTCAAGCCAATATGTTTTCCTCCTCAGCCGGAAAATTGCCTACCCATCTCGGCAATTGTTTAATACAGTGCGTTTCATTGCTCTTGGATGGCCAAAAGATTGAATAATAACGATAAACCTTTATAAATGACACAATGAAACCATATATATAGCTTCTTAATATCAAATGCCGAATAATAATCAAATAAAATTAATTTCATGATATGAATTAAGTTAGTAAATTAAGTTACCAACTAATCAAAGTTCAGTTAGGAAAATAAAACTTAAAGCCACAGGCACGCTATCAAAAATGTGGTCGCCGTTTATTTCAGCTTTTCTTGCTAGTTATTAAATATTATTATCGAATATCTATTTTCCCACAGCTATGCAGCTGAATTATTTCACAATTTTCTCAATTAAAGTCGAGAATAAAATTGGCTTGTTTATTGAAAAAATTAGACAATTATGCGGCACTCTAATTGAATTAATATCGAAACGAGTTGTTGGAATTATCGAATGAAATTAGCATTATAAGTAGGTCAGCAATCGAGCAATTTGGTAACCAGCTGCCTTTTTCTATGAAATATTATCTATGGAACTTCCTACCCAACGAATCAATTCAAATAATTGTGTACATTATTATATTCCAGATCTTATTCAGATTCTGACGATTAAACATAATTTATTGATTCACGGCGACTTATGTGTGAGTATTTATGAACCTCACTGCACCGCAATTCCAATTAACAGAACAAGAGCCATCGCAGTCCAGGGAAATGGCTCTGAATGACGGGTTAATGAGGTTAATGCCGGATGTAGCCTCAACTTTCGGTTTCGACTCGGTTGCCAGGCAACACAAAATGCATTTCAGATTCGCCACAGAAACTGCATTCATGGTCGGTGGAGCAATTTACCTCCCCACCCCCCCTTGAAAAGAGGAGGTTCAGCGGGTTCAAGCATATTCCGTTGCAATGTGGCTAAAGCAATTACGTGGAGACCAAAAAGGAAAGGGGGTCTGTGGGGTGATTACCTCCCGCCCTCTCGTTGAATGGAAAACTAAGGCAAAAGTCGAAAACTTCATGAAGGATGAAATTAAAAAGTTTCCCAAGCTGAGCTCCTGGTTAAACGACCTTGTCAACTATATAGTTTTATCTGGATAAACTCGATATTGCTTTCAGTCCTTCCTTCCTTCCTCATCCTTCCGCTCCTTCCTTAGTTGCAAATTTGTCAGTCTGCTGCCATGGCTCCCACGAGACCAAGTCGTGGGTGCCTGTCCCCCTCTCATTATTTATGACTCCAACTCGGTAATCAGTCAGTTGGTGGCAAAAAGAAAAATAAGAAAAAGGGGGCAGGCGGAGTGCGCTCCTAGAGCGGTCTTTCATAATCCCAGTCATTACTCAAAAATATACATTTGTTGTCAGTCCAATTAGCTGCGTGACTCCAAGGGTCAGCCACTCCGGCTCGGTTGCCGCCATTTGTTTTGGTCACTTTTTGGCCTTTCAGCCGTCGGCTTTTCGGTTGCTTGGTTCCTGTTTTTTCCTGAGAAAAAAAGGGCTTCATTTTTTCGCAGCTATTACAGCGGAATTATCGCCTGGCCATGTCCCCTATGCCGTCGACGACGCCTTCGCCGCTGCCCTTTCGCCCTCCATGGAAATTAAACAAAAGTTTTTTTTTTTATCCGGCCAGCGAACAACATTATTCTGTTGTTCTTTTCCTAACTTTTCAGACCTGTCAAACGGAAAAGGCGGACAAAGGGCGACCGCAGTTTGCCCAGTCAGCCGAGACCCCGGAGTCCGTATTCCGTAGACCCTAGTCCGGACCCTATTTATTGTTTGTTTTTCTCGCTTGTCCTTGTGGCGCATTAAATTAAATTCCTTCACTTACTGGGTCTCCGCAATGACTTCCAAATGACACCAACGTCATCCTATCCGGAATCCAGCTGAGCTGCCTTTGATGGCCAATCCTTGAGGTGGTTTCTACTGCGTTACACTCGTTTTGGGGCTTTGACTTTCAATTCGATTGCGCAATGCGCAATAATTAGGCGGCTCTGCTAGCATTGCTCATTCAACAGTTGCACAATAACCAGGCATTCAACAATGCCACAATTCACCAATCGTTTCGACAATGTCACAATTCACCAATCAATCCATCAATCCAACAATGTCCCAGCAAAAGAAATGTGGCAGGCCTTTGGCTAGGTTTATTTTTGGTCTGGCTTACTGGCTTAATGGGTGCGTGGCTTAATAGCGCGGATTTCGAAAATATATCCGTTCGGCGGCGGAAGTTGACACATGGACACAAGGACCCATGGATCCATGGACACGGACACGGACACGGGCACACGCACACAAGGAAAGCGAGGCGAGCGACAAGGACGAGGGCTTTGTATTATTTTATTCGCCAATGTATGTGTGTATGTTGGCCACATTAGGTGCCAGCCAGAGCCCTATAGGTATGCACACTCACACTGAATCACTGAGGGGAATCACCACACAGACACAAACACACACGCTGGCACATACACCGATACGATACGAAGGATACGCGGAGAGAGGCATTTTGTGTATCCGTCTCGGAACGTGACCAACGATGGCTCCGTGGGATTTAGTTATTAAACGGCTTTTGGCTTGTGCCTTCACTTCATTCCTTCGTCTGTTTTCATTTTTAAATGTGGCACAATGCGATGTGACGATGTTCGTGTTGGTATTTGTATTTGTATTGGTACTGATGGCACTTTCCCTTTCCCCGTTGCTTCGGTGTTTCCCCTGTTACTGATTTCTCCGACAACGGCGGCGGAGCAACGTTCACTGGCATCCTTGCGGCAGGATTCGCGTACTGGAACTGATTCCGTGTCTATTTCGGCGAGCTTAAAGGACTTGGACCGCGACTCCGAAAAATGCAAGACTCCGAAAAATGCTCTCCGGCGCAGGCGCGCTAAAAACGGAACTCAGTGAAAGGATGAGAGGATTTCCTCGAAAGTCAGAGCATATCAAATATTAATTTGCCATCCATTTGTTGCCGCTTTCTTTGCATGCCTAATGAGCAGCAGTTTTATTTTAAGGCAAGGGTTTTTCGTGTTATTTTTTTTTCTTCCGACTCTGTGGGTTTTTCAACTCTGCTCGCTTATACGTCGGTTTTCAAGCTAACCGCCATGCCGGATCGTTTTATTCGCTCTCTTCATCACTCGTCGCCGTCAGTCTTGCTCTCTCCATCTTTACTATCTGGGTTATTAGCACAACCTGCCTCAATTCGAGACGCGAAACACACGAGAAACACTCGGCTGAATCAAAATCCGAGTGCGAATCGTGGCCAGACGAACCTAATATGCTCCATAGTCACGTACAAATGAATATTCGTAGTAGAGACGCCTTCGTTTTGGCATATTAATATAGTCTACATTTCGGGGCACAGTCAACGAGTACGCCCTACCCCCTATCCCACTTCCTAACCCTGTCCCTCACACTTTTTGTGTCTTTCTCGCACATGAATGATTTACGCCGGGCCATGGAAATGTGATTTTTACCGCAATATATAGGTATTGGTATAGGCAATGGGAATCCTTTTTCCACCATCGAAAACCCCCAGCCGCGCAGAAACAATTGAACAGACAGTTATAGGCCAATTTTAGTTTATGTCCATGCGTCGCACTCGAGAGAGATTTGTGGGGCATTCAATGGGGCACGAGGATGAAGGTAGCGAAGGGAGAACCATAAGATGGTTTAAGGGGTATATGGGTGTTAAGGGGTACTACCAACACCTGTACCTCGTTGTTGCGCCGACCATGTCAAATGTTGCGTGTTATGGCCCGCAAATGTGGCTGTCGAAAGCGTATCCCCCCAAGTACACCCACTACCAGGAACACTACTACCAAGCAGTACATCCCCAACCACCCCCACCTACCTACCTAACCCCCACCCTGATTCAGAAAACTCGGAACGGGCATTTCAACGCATGCCTTACGAGCTCATAAATAAAATGCCCACCCGGTCCGAAGCCGATAAAGTCGAGTGTGCTTGACTGGGGAATGCCCTGTAGGCCTCAAAACATCGCAATGCAAATGAGCATGGCGCCGGGAAAGAGACAGACGCACTCAGACAGACAGGGACAGGTAGTGCGGTGCGAAAGAGATAGGGACAAAAGCGAACCATTGCAACAGAAAATTGACAGACAATGGCCCTGTAATTGACACGCCACCTAGCGGCCATTACGAATGATTAAAGTTGTTTTGACCCTCCCAATAGTGCGTATGTGTTTGTATGTGCGAGTGTGTATATGGGTGTGTGGGTTGACATTTGATTATAGAATTCCATTACCAAACAATTGAAATGGGAATACAATGAGTTGGCCAGAACGGAGGTGGAACCCCGCTAAGCAGTTTACAAATTCCATAATTAAGTTAGCACGCATTCAGGTCAAACGGAACACGGAGAAAATAGATCGTTTTAAATATTTGATGTAAGATTGTCTATTTTTTAGGAGATTTTTTATAGGTAGAGATATGCCTAGTTCAAGAAATATCTTTGAATCAGTTCAGTTAATCAGTTAATGGTCCCAATTCATTTGAATGTAACAAAAAAGTTTATGAAATTCGGAAAATTATTTTTATGAACAAATCAAATAGTGGCATAGAAATATGATATATCTTATGCATGTTAACATATATAAACACATGTCAACATATGCCTATGTTATGTAACTGACAAAATAAATAATAACTTCCTAAAGGAACAACACCAAAGAGTTCATTATATCCTCAGCCTACTGGGTATCTGGTTTATATTGACTCCACGGCGCGATACTTAACGCTAGCTGGCCCATTCAAGAAATCAAATTAGTGGAGCAATCTATCCACCTCCTGGCTACCCACACCAACATGCTCCATCCCGCTGCGATCCTATCTGTTCACCTTTTCGCCAGTGAATTTATTGTTGCCAATTAATTTGTTAAAATTAGTGGAGCAGGCCTTCTCGTTGCCCGTGCATTGTGGTAGTTTCAATTGCCGGCTCCACGGGAGATGGGGTTGGGTTTATTCTGATTGGTGTTGGGTGGGGCAGGAGGAGTTCCTCTTCGTGAAGCACTGTCTTCAACTGCTTATCGATAAGTGAAAGTGGGCATGGCACACAGACGTCGTCGCCTGTGAAATGTATGCCACGTACACGTATTTATCCATTGCTTAGCTTGCCGACGCCATTTATTGCCCACTGCGAATGGGCCTGTCCCATGGGTGGAGCTAATGGGGGTTTTTGGTAGGGGTTCGCAGGGTCGCAGGGGCTGTGGAGCGAGCCCGCTTCCGCTGCCTTGAATGAATGCTAAATTAATTTCAAATGAATACAAATGGCTTTTCGCTTTTAAGACCAGACCAAGGCAGCGCTAAGAAGCGCCAAGCGCAGCAATAAACTCCCCCATCACACAGCTAAAAAATCAAGGGCTTCCTTCTAAAGGACCCTCGAATTTTAAAGTTTATTTCCCTTGCCCAGTTGGTCGTTGGAGCTTTTAAAAATAAATGAAGTCCAGATTTTCAATTAGCTGAAAAAAGAAAAACTAATTTTAATGTAATAATAAAATGTTTTAAAAATAGATGGCAGTATAAATACATTCAAAACTGAAGACTTATGAAAAGATTGAGAAAGGTAATTGAATAAATCAATGAAATTTCAATATCTATTAACTATACAAATGATGAAAAACTTTCATTAACATTGCTCATATCAATAATTTAAGACCTGATTTTCAATTAGTCAAAAGATAAAGAAAATTTAATATATCTGTTGAAATATATTTAAAAATTATTTAAAAGATTGCTGCGAATGACTTAGAAAGTACAAGTGTGCAAAGCTATATAAGTGATTCTGACATAGTGGAAGTTAAACGAAATAGTGAACAAGTGAACATGCTTACAATTTGTTGCTACGGCTTAGCAAATCATTTGAAATTTCGTGGGATGAGACGAAATTCCTTATTACAAAATAAAATTATTAAAAGGACAAACAAAGTGAAAAGTGTTCACGTACAAGATTTATGTTGCGCAATTATACCAAAAGTAAAAAAAAAAAATTAAAAATGACAAGACACAAGCCTAGGCCCTTTTGGCAATGTAAGAAAATGACAATTGACAAATCAATGTGGTGTTGACGTCGCGCGTACTGTGTTGTGATAAGTGTGTTTAGAATGAGAAAAAAGATATTTCATTGTTTTCATTCCTAAGTTTCACAATAAAATTGATATATAAAGTATTTTGATAACAAAAGCAGTAAATTGAAAGCGTGATATGGTGACTTGTTTATGATTACATAAAATGAAGCAGTGTATGTATTCTATAAACACAGTCATTGATGCATTATCGTTTTCATAAATTTTTTTTTTTTTTAAAAATGGTGAGTGGTGGAATGGTGAATGGTTTAAAATAGTTAATAAAAATTGACTCAAATAGCAATGCGTGTTTAACTTACCAAAAAAGTTAATTTGATTAATTCGGTCATAAAAATGATGACCAAACGTTGTTTTATTTGCAACGTTCATTGACGATCTCGCGTTATACAGCTTTATTTTTAAAATCGTGATGAAATACTAAGTTCAAAGACTATAAAACAACCAAAGAAGTAAACAATTCGAAGCATTTGGACAATTTCTTAAAAACGGTTTAGTAAAAAAAATACAACTTAATGGCTATTCAGCAACGCAAAACAATTTTTTTTTAATATTTTTTTAATTCTCAAAAAAATTTCCTCTTGATTTTATAATCAGCTCAGGCACAAGAAAAATGAACAGCTCAGGGATTTGGACGTGGAGGTACGGAAAGGAGATAAAGTGCTTTCAGCGATGAGGCAGAACAGCCTCTGTATTGAAACCGTGGACCAGGCGTCCAAGACTCGTTAAAACTGGCAACCAAGTAAACAACTGTCTGAATATGCTGAAGGCAGAGGATATACACTTCCAGCAAATTTGGGTGAGGTTAATCAGTCAGAAATGAAGCAGGAATGGTCAGCATCGATTCAGAAGGGATGGATGCGCTAGAGGCCATAACACGTGGGATAGTGGATCTGCACAAGATAAAGGCTATAGGCTGCAGTGGGTATTTGGCGTAAAGGTTGACAAGGAAGCTATGTAGAGCGCTTAAGTCAAGACTAGTTGCCAAAGGATGTTCAGCGCTATGGTGTTACTTCTGGGAAACATTCTCCCTGTGTAGATACCGTCCGTTAAATGATCATGGCATTGGCGTTGAGAACTCATTTGCATAGATGGACGTATCTACTGCTTCTTGAACACGAGCTATGAGACGTAATGCGGCAACAGATGGGTTCGTAACAAGAGTTTCGAGAAGGTCCTAAAGCTAAAGAAGTCTCTACGGCTTAAACAAAGGGCAGAAATGGAATACTAACTGACCAGTATTGAAACTTGGTTTTACCGTGTTCACGAGCTCGTATATACGCAATGACAAGGTAGTATAAATATAATAGCAGTTTTTTGACGATCTTTACTGCCAGCTCAAATAAAGATGAACTTTGGGCATCAAAGCATAATCCTAATAAGTTTATGTTGGGATGCGGCAGCTCAATCACTTTTGGGCATCGAAGTTGAGCGCATGGCGAAACGGCAGCATAGCTATCGGCCATAAGCATATGTCGAGCAGATGCTTATGCTGGGGCATTCAACATGCAAACTGTAGCTACCTGGAGGCGGGTCATCAAGTCAAATGTGATGACGCCAAATGCAAGGCCATTGACGAAGCTATCAATCTCCTATGTTTTGCTATAAAATACAACATCACACTAACACAACAATTAAGAAAGTTTGCAAAGCCGAGATATCTTAAAGGCACCTAACAT